GTAGTAGTAGTAGTAGTAGTAGTAGTAGTAGTAGTAGTAGTAGTAGTAGTAGTAGTAGTAGTAGTAGTAGTAGTAGTAGTAGTAGTAGTAGTAGTAGTAGTAGTAGTAGTAGTAGTAGTAGTAGTAGTAGTAGTAGTAGTAGTAGTAGTAGTAGTAGTAGTAGTAGTAGTAGTAGTAGTAGTAGTAGTAGTAGTAGTAGTAGTAGTAGTAGTAGTAGTAGTAGTAGTAGTAGTAGTAGTAGTAGTAGTAGTAGTAGTAGTAGTAGTAGTAGTAGTAGTAGTAGTAGTAGTAGTAGTAGTAGTAGTAGTAGTAGTAGTAGTAGTAGTAGTAGTAGTAGTAGTAGTAGTAGTAGTAGTAGTAGTAGTAGTAGTAGTAGTAGTAGTAGTAGTAGTAGTAGTAGTAGTAGTAGTAGTAGTAGTAGTAGTAGTAGTAGTAGTAGTAGTAGTAGTAGTAGTAGTAGTAGTAGTAGTAGTAGTAGTAGTAGTAGTAGTAGTAGTAGTAGTAGTAGTAGTAGTAGTAGTAGTAGTAGTAGTAGTAGTAGTAGTAGTAGTAGTAGTAGTAGTAGTAGTAGTAGTAGTAGTAGTAGTAGTAGTAGTAGTAGTAGTAGTAGTGTAGTAGTAGTAGTAGTAGTAGTAGTAGTAGTAGTAGTAGTAGTAGTAGTAGTAGTATAGTAGTAGTAGTAGTAGTAGTAGTAGTAGTAGTAGTAGTAGTAGTTAGTAGTAGTAGTAGTAGTAGTAGTAGTAGTAGTAGTAGTAGTAGTTAGTAGTAGTAGTAGTAGTAGTAGTAGTAGTAGTAGTAGTTAGTAGTAGTAGTAGTAGTAGTAGTAGTAGTAGTAGTAGTAGTAGTAGTAGTAGTAGTAGTAGTAGTAGTAGTAGTAGTAGTAGTAGTAGTAGTAGTAGTAGTAGTAGTAGTAGTAGTAGTAGTAGTAGTAGTAGTAGTAGTAGTAGTAGTAGTAGTTAGTAGTAGTAGTAGTAGTAGTAGTAGTAGTAGTAGTAGTAGTAGTAGTAGTAGTAGTAGTAGTAGTAGTAGTAGTAGTAGTAGTAGTAGTAGTAGTAGTAGTAGTAGTAGTAGTAGTAGTAGTAGTAGTAGTAGTAGTAGTAGTAGTAGTAGTAGTAGTAGTAGTAGTAGTAGTAGTAGTAGTAGTAGTAGTAGTAGTAGTAGTAGTAGTAGTAGTAGTAGTAGTAGTAGTAGTAGTAGTAGTAGTAGTAGTAGTAGTAGTAGTAGTAGTAGTAGTAGTAGTAGTAGTAGTAGTAGTAGTAGTAGTAGTAGTAGTAGTAGTAGTAGTAGTAGTAGTAGTAGTAGTAGTAGTAGTAGTAGTAGTAGTAGTAGTAGTAGTAGTAGTAGTAGTAGTAGTAGTAGTAGTAGTAGTAGTAGTAGTAGTAGTAGTAGTAGTAGTAGTAGTAGTAGTAGTAGTAGTAGTAGTAGTAGTAGTAGTAGTAGTAGTAGTAGTAGTAGTAGTAGTAGTAGTAGTAGTAGTAGTAGTAGTAGTAGTAGTAGTAGTAGTAGTAGTAGTAGTAGTAGTAGTAGTAGTAGTAGTAGTAGTAGTAGTAGTAGTAGTAGTAGTAGTAGTAGTAGTAGTAGTAGTAGTAGTAGTAGTAGTAGTAGTAGTAGTAGTAGTAGTAGTAGTAGTAGTAGTAGTAGTAGTAGTAGTAGTAGTAGTAGTAGTAGTAGTAGTAGTAGTAGTAGTAGTAGTAGTAGTAGTAGTAGTAGTAGTAGTAGTAGTAGTAGTAGTAGTAGTAGTAGTAGTAGTAGTAGTAGTTAGTAGTAGTAGTAGTAGTAGTAGTAGTAGTAGTAGTAGTAGTAGTAGTAGTAGTAGTAGTAGTAGTAGTAGTAGTAGTAGTAGTAGTAGTAGTAGTAGTAGTAGTAGTAGTAGTAGTTAGTAGTAGTAGTAGTAGTAGTAGTAGTAGTAGTAGTAGTAGTAGTAGTAGTAGTAGTAGTAGTAGTAGTAGTAGTAGTAGTAGTAGTAGTAGTAGTAGTTAGTAGTAGTAGTAGTAGTAGTAGTAGTAGTAGTAGTAGTAGTAGTAGTAGTAGTAGTAGTAGTAGTAGTAGTAGTAGTAGTAGTAGTAGTAGTAGTAGTAGTAGTAGTAGTAGTAGTAGTA